GCGTGCATGCCCCAAGCCCCAAAGGGCTGCAGAAATGGAGAAGGGATTGCAGTGTGACCGCACCCCATCGGGAAGGGCTGTTTTCTCCCTCTCACTCTCCCTGTCTCTGGCAAGGACACATGCCTCGGGTGACTATAAATAAATAAAGATTTCTTCAGCCCCAGGGGTCCGCTCTCCACCCCCCTGGGGAGAGCACCGGATGGACAAGGCATGGGTTAAATAAAACACGTCGAGACAAGCAGCACACGCTTCTTCGCACGTGGCCCCGTAACTTCTGTCAGGCAGCTACGGCCCCCACTTGGCAGCACTGATACAGACAGGACGCCAACACGGGTGTGCAGGGCCCACAGACACACACGCGCACGTCTGACCACACGCGCATCGACTCCCCAGGTAGGAACGCCCAGAGCGCCTGAAGCGAGCCACGCTATAGTCTGGGTGCACCTCAGCCTCCCCGGCTTCTAACCTCCGTCCGCACTTCTGCAGAGCCGGGGAGTCAGGAAGTGCTCAGGGCGGCAGGGTGTGCCAAGACACCAGAGCCAGCCCACCCACCCCACCCAAGGCAAGGCAAGGAGCCTGGTGCAAATGATGACAGTGATAGGTCACAATGCTGGAATGAAACCGGAAACCACAGTCCAGGAGGCCAAAAGGAAGAGGGAGAGAGGGAGGGAAGAAGGAAAGAGGTGGAGAGGAGTGAACGCCCAGAGTGCCTTCTTCACAGCTCACGGTGCTCACTGAGGGGGCACCAAGTCACTGCAGGGCCCACACCAACAATGGCACTCCGCAATCCAGACCAGGGGCCAGGAGCCCTGCAGGTGCACGCCTCAGTGCTATACCCAGGTATTATCCAGGCGGTGCCGTCCCCAAGAGGGTGGAGAGCAGACCCCTGGGGCTGAAGAAATCTTTATTTATTCAGTCACAGGGAGAGGGCTGCACTGTGCAAGGCGGATCATGCCCTGCAGGTACAGGTCTGAGTCCCACTAACCCCCACCAACCCTGTGGGGGGATGACCCCAGAACGAGGAAGCATCCGTGGGGAGGGCAGTAGGGGCCGGGCACAGAGGTGCGTGCTGCGGTTTTCGGGGGCCCTGGTTCATACAGACACCATAACATGCAGGGCTGCCGGGCATCAAGTCTCCGATCCGGTCTCAAGCGCAAGAGAAAGCTTCGCGTCCTGGTGACCCTGCCTTGAATCTGAGATGTTTTCAATTTCTTTGTAAACATTGGGTCGCAGAAAAGCCAGGACATAGTTTTCTGATTTTCTATGCAAAAATGCATCGTGACTTTTCCGACGATCCAATAAAATCTAACCAAAAGGAAAAAAGGTGTCCTGTTTCCCTTACGGCCAGCCTGAGGTCTCCGCTGCCCACGACCCTCCACCTCCCCAGCCTCCTGCTCGCAACCAGGCACTCTGGCGCTGGGCGGTCGCGTTTTCAGTAGGTGGTCGGTGAGCAAGCAGGCAGCAGGGGATAGGGCAGGGGATGGCCCACCTGCTCCCCGCTCACAGCACAAAGCCCACGCGGCATGTGGCAAGGCTCGGGCATTCTTCCTGGGAGGAAGAAACAAAGGATGAAGAAGTAGAGAGAGGAAGGGAGGCCAGGCGCCCTGGATGGAGCGCAGCGCTGTCTGGAGGGGCACTTGACCTCGAGGGGGTAGCCCCACGCCATGGCAGCCTTCACTTCACAGCTACGTGGGTCCCGAGTTTGCAGCGAGGGATGCGCACGACGGAACAGTGGGCAAGGTAGGCAGCTAGACGCCTGGTGACCAGGAGACAGGACCAGGCTCGCAACGCTGCAGGGCAGGAATGAGTGAAACCAGGAAGGCTTCCCAGAGGAGGGGGCCATCACCTAGCTTCCACAGGAAGAATCGGGGTGGGGGGGGAGGAGGGTGTCTTCTCGCAAGGGTACAACGCAGGTCGGGCACGCGATGGGCCCGAACAAGAAAGTATGGGGTGCTGGCTGGAGTATCAGGCATAGGCAGGAGGAGGAGTGGGTGTGGGAGCAGGGACACACCCCGCCGGCCCCAGGGTCCCAAGTCTTCTCTGCTGGGTCCCTGCAGACAAGCTTCCCGACCCCCTCAATGTAAAGGAGGCCACCAGGGTGATGTGGGTAAGGAGAGCCCGGAAGGGTGGTGCCCTACAGGTGTAAGCCATGTCTACTGGCACGGGCAAACTCAGGACCGCCCTACCCAGGCGGCTCCAGACACTCTCGGTCTCTCCTTAGGATCAGCAGATTAGTTTAATTAAAGCCGAGGTGGCCTCTGGGCATTTTAGATAAAAACACAATACAGTGTACCCTGCCAGCTCCAGGAGGGCAGGACCACGGTCTGCCCATGGCCATCCCCATGTCCCTCTGCGGTGGGTGGACTGTGCAGACGCTCAACAGCTCACACTGCTACGATGATCCTGCAGGGCCAGCTCAAGGCGCCGGCGTGGCGTTCTAGTAGGAGAGGGCATCGCAGGGGGCTCTGGGCTGCACGGGTGCTGCCACACGGTGTTGGGCAGAGAGCGAAGGCTCTGTGATGAGGGCCCTGCAGACTCACTGGCAGTGCCCAGACAGCCACAGAAGGCAGGTGACTCCTCACCCACCCAGCTCAGGAACGCAGGCCCACACCATGACACCCAAGATGAGGCCAGGCGCACGCACCAGGAAGCGCAAGGTGCAGGTCGGCGCAGGGAAGTCTGCCCTGTCACCATTTAGGGAAACCCAGGGGGGCGGACCAGGCTCCCAGGCTCCGGGGCTGTGTTGCCACTCACTCTCTGGGGTCCTTGGCCGAGTCAAACCTTCATGGTCTCACTACCTACGACTAGGCTGGCTGCTTCTCCCAGGCTGGCTCCACCCAGCCCAGGGCAGGATGGGCCCAGGTGACAACTTCCCTCCTGGCCTGCAGGAAACCTAAGGGGCTGTCCCTCTCCCAACCCCTGCCCAGAGGAACATGGTAAAGAAAGCAATTTCTTACTTGTGAACATGCTAGCCCCAATCCAAGACGGCACGGCTCAGGGGACACCAGCTGCTGCCCTGTGTCCTCAGACAGACCTGTGTGACCTGCCCCACCTCCACGAGCTCACGAGCAACAGAAGACCAGATGAGCCCTCGGCACACAGGGTGGCAGGTGTGCGTCCAGATGGCGGCCCGACACGCTGACCTTCACTGACCGCTCACTGTGCGTCCGGCACCTGTCCCAGGCCGTCCCGTGGCTATGAGGTGGCTCCCACTGCTGCACTCGTTACAGAGGCGGGAATGGAGACCCCAAAGGTGCCCCCTGCCCGGGAGGTAACGGTGCCAGGATGTGACTGAAACACATGGCCACACACACCGGCAATGCCCACCCAGGTGTCCCTCTGCCCAGTCCCCTGAGGCAGGGCTCGAGGGGACTGCGTTGTCGGGTCAGTGCCACCTGCCTGCCAGGGCTCCAGGGCCCGGGGACCTCTGCACCCTCTGAAGGGACATCCTACACAGGGGCAACTTGAGTCCCCTCGTCCCGCCTCCCAGGACACCAGTGCCAGTCTCCAGCCAGGCTGAGCCCCTCCTGGCCTCTGTCCTGAGCCCTGACCCCCCTTCCCCCCACAAGCGGCCCAGAAGGCTGCCTGGAGGAGTCAGAGGTCCAGCCCAGCTGGGCTCACCCACACCCAGCTCTCCCTCTCCCCACACCACCCGCCCAGCCAGCCATGAGAGGGGTAAGAAGTGCTCCCTTGAGGCCGAGGTGAGGTCTGGAGAGCGCTGCGCTCCCTAGCGCTCCTCCCCTCCCACTCCTCCCCTCCCCCTCCTCCCTCCCCTCTCTCCTCTCAGGGACTCCTTGTCACCAGGAGAGAGCAAATGGACAGACAGACAGGCTGGCTTCAGGGAGGGCTCAGGGCTCCCTCCCTCTCTGGGCTGGATAATCAGGACTGAGTGGGAGGGTGGCCCCTTCCCCCCTCCAGCCTTCCTTTGTCAGAGTCACCCCCCATCTGCTGGAGAGGAGGGCCCCATCTCCTAGGAAACACAGTTACCACCAAAGGGCAGAGGCCAGGCAGCCCATCCCGCTTAGGCAGTGACTCACTCCACCCCCATGTCCCCACTGCTTCCCTGCTGGCCCAGGAATGGCGGCAGTCCACTGAGTTGCCCTGGAGCCGCCAAGGGGCCAGGGGCAGGTGGGAAGGTCGGTCCTGGCAGGGCTGGCTGACTAGTCGCCCTCCCGGTTCCCTCTGCCTCCTGGGACACCTTTCAAGGGCTCTGGGTGGGAGCTCTGCCACCCTCGGATTCCGCCCAAGTCTTAGCCAAGTCCCCTTTAAGAGACCAGGACACGCAGCTCAGGCCGGGAGCGGACATTTTCCTGCCTGCTCGGGCCGTGGGCCTGCCACAAAGGCCGCACTGGAGGGCCCGTCAGAGGGTGGGGGGTGCTGGGGAGGCGGCCCGGGCTCCGCTGGTGCCAAGCTGCCAGAACCTGGGGTCCCTGAGGAGGCTTGCCCTGCGCCAGGTCCTGGAGCAGGAGAAGGCCCGCGGGGCAGGGGGCCCACCCGCTGCCTCCCGGGGGGCGCCGGGCCCCGCGCCACCGGTCCTCAGCCGCGCCCCGGGCAGGCGCAGAGAGCGCACGGGTTCGTCCTCCCGCAGCGTCCAGCCGGAGGACGCGGCCACCGGGTGCGATGGGAGCACCGAGAGCGGGAGGCCGGAGAGCCCAGGCCCTGGAGAGGGACAGCAGTGCTGGACGCCCCGCCAGGACCGGGGTCTCCCTGGAAGCTGGGAGGCGCAGATCGCACGAGACGGGCGCGCACCGAGGCAGTACCCGCGGGCAGCGGTGGCGCACCCCCGTACTTTGGCCAACTTCGAGCCTCCGGAGGTCACCGCTCGGAGCCGGCCCCGACGCCACAGGCGCACCCCCTCTCTACTGTCCCTCCCACCGCTCGTGGACGTGCCGGAGTCCAGTATGCCCCGGCGGCCGCGGCCGCGACCTCGGCGTCCGAGTCGGTGCGCCACGCGGCCGGAGAGTCGGCTCACCCGGCCTCCCGCCGCGCCGGACCCTCACCTGGGACATCTGCGGCCGGAAGTTGATGTCCTTGAGGTCGGT